GAAAAATTTAAGGGGGTCTGAATACTTTCCGTACACTGTATATATATATATATATATATATATTTTATATATATGCCGTAGGTTGTGAGTGTGATGTTACAGTTATATAACATTCAATACACAAAAAGTTAGTATTTATTAACTTAAATTTTAGACACAATTTTACAAGTTGCTTTGCTGTTTTTGTTGATATAATAATCAAGCACTGCTCTTCTGCTACAAACAGTAGTGGTGTTTTTGATTTTAAAAGAATCATCTGAGTGAAATTTATATGTCCTAGATTTATAAGCTATGTTGTTAGGCCAAATTTATGGCCATATATTAATGTTTTGAAAAAGCATAGTACTCAATTGCTAATCCTATTTTCTTTATCTCTGCTGCTCTTCATAATCCTCATTGTCCTCCACGCTGTTTATCGCCACACTACTGTTTGTCACATTTCAGAGCTAATTAATTGTGGCGCTCTTGTGTTTCCGATCATTCTCCCTGCTGAAGAGACTCAGATGTTTGAGCCGCTCACTATCATCTCTGAGCCTGTGAAGGCATTAGCCTTTGGTTTACTCAGCTGCTGCTGTTTAGAGAGATGCGATTGTAGCTTTAATGACATCTGGATATGTGATTGAGGCATCACCAGCATGTCTTCATGTGACACGGGTCGTGTTACACGCTTGATTTCACATCCCAGAGACCTTTAACTGGTTATAAGCAGATAGACACTTAAGTTTTTTTTGTTTTTTTTTGTTCAGTGGTAATATCATGTTATTTCTTGTAATACCTTGGCATGTCAATGCCTTAATATGTCAATATAATAATTTATTACCATGCTTAAAGGAGTAGTTTACCAAAAAAAAAAAGCAATTTAAATTCTGTCATTTGCTTGAAGTTGTTCCTTACCTTTATGAGTTGCTGTGTGAGTAACATTTGCTTTTCCCCTTTGAGTTCTATAGCGTGGAAACAATACTATGTAAGTCAATGGGGACCAGAAACTCTTTGGTTACCAATATTCTTCAAAATATCAGAAGAAAGAAATTCGAATGTGTCTTTCATGTCTCTAAACTCATCATCGTCATGACCTTCCTTTAGTAGCTGTTCTGTTGTGCTCTTTTTCAACCAGATCTTTCTTTGGTGTTTTTCTCTCTTTCAGTACTTCAACAATGAGAAGTATGAGGCCGAGCGTTATGATGGTTTTCTGAAGGTGTACGAGTCGTCCTCTCTGAAGACCACCTCTACTCTGGCCATGCTCAACTTCGGTCAGAGTGCCATCTTCAGCGTCGGCCTCACTGCTATCATGGTGCTGGCAAGCAAAGGCATAATGGCAGGTGAAAATCAGTGCTATGTCACATTTCATCACTAAGTACTCAAAATAGCTTGAGGGGCCAGTTGCATTAACCATCAACCATTAAATTTTTTAATCCATGTTTTAATTTATAGAGTTCTGTTGTGCAGCATCTTATTTGACAAAAAAACAAATGCAATGTTTTGTTGTAAATGAAATGTTATAAAGCGGAGAGTTCTGGTGCTTGATTCTGATTGGCTGAGCCACGTTCTAAGCTATTGTAAATTACTCTACAAAGTAACATACACCTTTGTTTACGTTTGTCTGTTGCTCTGCAACCACTTTGTTGCAACCACAACTGTTTCTGAGGAACTACATCAGGGATGGGCAACTGGCGGCCCGCAGTGTTGGTTTACAGTGAATTTATAACAGCTAAGGGGGTTAAACTCCCCTTCGCATATAACAACGCTCCTTAGCTGTTATAAATTCACTGTAAACCACGGCTTCACGGGGCTTGTTGCTTTATTATATTTTAATTTGATTACATTTTAAAAGCTTTATTTTATTTGTATTTAATTTTAATTCATTTCATTAGACACCATTTTTGATGATAAATTTGTATTATGTCATAAAACACAGAACCCATAAAAATGAAACGGAAAACACAGAATTTAGGTGAAAATACAATGGAAGATATCTTACTCTGTGGAGTTTAAAGGCTTGTTTACACCGGGACGAATATCACGTGTGATTATCGCCGACGTTTAACACCTCGTGTCTAAACAAAGGGCGCCAATGTGAGTGTGCACACCGACGCGCAAAACGCGAGGCGTAAAAGCGTAATTTAAAAAAAAAAATGCCTCGGGCTCGTTTTTTTTTATTTGACGCGCCGCGTTAAAAACTGGCCGACCAATGAGATTGGCGCTTTTGTTCTCGTGCCTGGAGCTGCTGAAGTTACAGTAAAACACGACTTGGTGGCGCTCAAGCACAAAATAATCGTCCCGGTGTGTACGAGACTTAATAGTGAACAATCATTATCAAGGCCTAACAAACATATAGAAAGCATTTCCTGTGGTAGATTAATACCTTGATAAATATCAATATTGTTCGATATGGAAAAAAAAATATTGTGGTAATATAAATATATCGCCCTATGTTCAGTGTGCTTTGGCTTCTTTTCCCTGCAGGCACTATGACTGTGGGCGATCTAGTGATGGTGAACGGGCTGCTCTTCCAGCTCTCTATGCCGCTCAACTTCCTGGGCACGGTGTACAGAGAGACCCGACAGGCCCTCATAGACATGAACACGCTCTTCACTCTGCTCAGCGTCGACACCAAAATAAAGGTGCGCTCGGCCTTTACTGTATGGAGCTTATAATATGACAAAACTATTTGAATTTGAATTATTGACAAGTGGCATTTATCAAAACTGAATATTATGTGGCATTTAACATAGTTCTGTATTAGATTTTTTTTCTAACGTGAATATTGAACATTTGAAATTTAACACGACTGAATTTTTTTATAGCAGAGTTTTAAAGACGTGCATTTTCAAACGGCAATTTTTTTTGTTCTGAAATCTTAGACTGCAAATATCCAGCTTTTAAAAATACAGCTTCAATTTTTCAAGATGAAGAGGAAATTCGGAAACATCAAATTCAATATTCAGAAATTCAGATTATATTATATTCTTGAAAATGCATGTCTATAAAACTAAATGCCACTTGTAAATAGGGATGTAACGATTAACTGCGAGCTGGTTGAAAATCGATTCAAATATGTGACGATTCAAATCGGTTGAGATGGTAAACAAATCACTATTCATTTAGGGGTAGGAGTTTATATGAATGTATGTCTGAGGGGAACTTACTGTCTTTAGAAAAGTTTAGATGGTATTTTTTCTTTTCCTCTTGCCTCTGTATAATGCATATTAAAGTTCATAAGTGCAGCGCTGCTTTGTTGTCCAGCGGAAACCAATGAAACGCTTTAAGTGCCACCTGCTGGCAGAGAGTGAATCTGCATCTCATTCAGCTCGTCTGCTGTTTCCGAATCGAATCGAATCGTGAAATCAAAATCGTGATTTGAATCGAATCGTGAGTTGAGTGAATCGTTACATCCCTACTTGTAAATAATTCAAATTTATACAATACAAATTAAAATAGTTTTGTCATATTATAAGCTCCATATTACTGCTGCAGACCTAAGCAAACAGAGTTATTTTAATGTGAAAAGAATACCTGTGAATAGTGTTGCATTATTTGCTCCAGCCGTTCTGAAATGTCAGTGCTTTTTAAAATACGGCACAAGAGCTTCCTGTCAGATTTGAATATTGCAAATTGAAGCATTAAAGCATGTAATTTGTCATAGTATTTGTTTTAAATTCCAAAAACATTTGAGTGTTTCGTGTCTTTCATAGCGTTAGTGGGGGAGCTTGATGAAGCTCATTCTTCATTTGGCTGATTTCGTATGCAGCCTGTAATTACTGTGAATAAAGTCTGTCCAGTTGTTCACAGTGATCAGTAATGGTTTTCACCACGTGACAGCATCAAGCCATTATTGTGAGACCCTAATTTGATTTCTCAATTTAGTGTAAAAGTGCTGAGCGCTATTGTTTTGATGGTGCCATTACAATGCATTGTCGTCGAAATATGTTTGAGAAAAGCCATTTTTCTGTTTCAAGCCTCAAAATGTACATTTCAGACTGCTACTAAATGTGTTTTTTATAACCTTTGTGTCCTGAAGGAGAAAGAAATGGCCACGCCGCTGCTCGTTGCACCCCAGGAAGCCACCATCAGGTTTGAGGATGTGTATTTTGAGTACTTGGAGGGCCAAAAGGTGCTTAACGGGGTTTCATTTGAAGTACCTGCAGGCAAAAAGGTGGCCATTGTTGGCGGCAGTGGATCTGGGTAAGTGCTCCAGGAAAGACATACTTATGTTATATTACCTTCAGGTTTCACTGAACTTGGCACAATAGGGTTCAAATTGGAGCTGAATTACTTTGAGTAATACAGCAGCAAAGGCAAAAATTCTTTGGAGGGAGAACTATTAGATATGTGGGATTATTAGCATTTAACACTGTGATAAGACTAAAGGCCCATAATTTGAGCCCCGTTTACAGCCAGACAGTAAATAATCTCATTCCCTTGTTGGCAGCATCTGTGAGGCTCAGCCATTTAACCCTGTTCCCAGAGTTCTTGTGAAATGAATTAAAGCTACTTTAATTTGTAGGAAATAAGTTAACCAACATTTTAAGACCCTGATATGCTTTTTTTAAAACGTATACTCATTATACTCTACCAGCCAAAGGTTTTTGAACAGTAAGATCTGTAGTGCGTTTTAAAGAAGTCTCTTCTGCTCACCAAGCCTGCATTTATTTGATCCAAAATACAGCAAAAGCAGTAATATTCTGGAATATTTTTACTATTTAAAAATTACTGCTTTCTATTTGAATATATTTTAAAATGTAATTTATTTCTGTGATGCAAAGCTGAATTTTCAGCATCATTACTCCAGGCTTCAGTGTCACATGGTCCTTCAGAAATCATTCTAATATGCTGATTTGCTGCTTAAGAAACATTTATTATTATTATTCATATTTAAAACAGTTGAGTAAATTTGTTTTTAGGATTCTTCGATCAATAGAAAGATCCAAAGATCAGCATTTATCTGAAATAAAAAGCTTTTGTAACATTATACAGTATACCTTTCAAAAGCTTGGAGTCAGTATAATTTTTTTTATTTTTTTGTTTTTTTGGGGGGGGGGGGAGAAATTATAGAAATTAATACTTTTATTTAGCAAGAATGCTTTAAATTGATCAAACGTGATGATAAAAACATTTATAATGTTACAAAAGATTTCTGTTTCAGATAAATGCTGTTCTTCTGAACTTTCTATTCATCAAAGAAACCTGATGAAAATTCTACTCTTTTGTTTTCAAAATAATAATAACAATAATAATAACAATAATAAATGTTTCTTGAGCAGCAAATCAGCATATTAGAATGATTTCTGAAGATCATGTGACACTGAAGACTGCAGTAATGATGCTGAAAATTCAGCTTTGATCACAGGAATAAATTGCATTTTAACAGATATTCAAATAGAAAACAGTTATTTTAAATAGTAAAAATATTATTTTGCTGTAGTTTCGATCAAATAAATGCAGGCTTGGTGAGCGGAAGAGAATTCTTTAAAAAACATAAAAAATCTTACTGTGCAAAAACGTTTGACTGGTAGTGTATATTCATTGCTAAAAATGACTAATTAGTCATTTTCAAATGTCAGATCAACCAAATTTCATAAATGTCCCTGGTTCAAATTTGTTTTTTTTTGTAAATATCTTTTCTAAAGAAAGATAAACATGTATAATAATGAAAGACAAAATATTAAATGTCATGGATGTAGCAAAGATAGCTAAAGTCAACAGATTTTACTCTAGTTACTTTATTATATTTTACTTTATTCTACCAATATCTGTGTGCAAATAACATACAGTAATGATGCTGCCATCTTTCTGAAGTAATTTTTACCCCCCACCCCCTCCACAAAATAGTGGATTGCTCCGTAAATATTCATCCATGACATTAAATATTTTACATTTCCTCTTCATTTATGCATTTCTTTCACCAGAAAAAAATATTACACATTGTATTACACATTGTACAATATATTAAAGTTTCCAGACCCAAATTATAGTAACAGGATAACAAGTCTGTCTCATGAAACAGACATTTATTTTAATGCTAGTCTTCAGGTAAAAGGCCAGCATTTTCATCTCCTCACACTGACCCTTTGTTAAAACACAAATAGAACAATAGAAAACAGAATTTGACTTCAAGATTACTCTCTTTTCCTAGGAAGAGCACGATTGTCCGATTGCTCTTTCGTTTCTACGAGCCACAGCAGGGCAACATCTACATCGCAGGCCAGAACATTCGTGATGTTAGTTTGGAGAGCTTGAGGAAAGCTGTGGGCGTCGTGCCGCAGGTGAGCGCTTGCATCTAATTCTGAGAACCATCAGATGTAATTATCACCTCCTTAGGGAACATTTGTATTTTCTTACTCTTTAAAAATAAGTATCTAATATAAACTAGCGGGAAGGTACCATGGGAACCATAATTAGACTTAATTTAAGCCTATGAAAAAAAAAAATTATGAAACTTATTTCATCTTCTGAGAAATCAAATGTAAATATAATTTCAGGACGCCGTGCTTTTCCACAATACCATATTTTACAATCTGCTCTATGGTAACATCAACGCCACAGCAGAGGACGTCTACCGTGTGGCCAAACTAGCTGGAATCCACGACGCCATTCTCAAGATGCCTCATGGATATGACACGCAGGTCGGAGAGCGAGGCCTGAAGCTCTCAGGTAACCTCAGCCCGTGTCTCATGAGTGTTTCTGAAGGAAGTGAAGGTCTCTGAAGAGGTAGAGGAACAAGATGGTTTCTTCTTGAGTGATTGAGTGCGGGTTTTTCTTGTGACAGGTGGAGAAAAGCAGCGTGTGGCCATCGCACGGGCCATCCTTAAGAACCCTACCATTTTTCTGTATGACGAGGCCACATCTTCACTAGACTCAATCACTGAAGAGGTAAGAGCCTTAGACTCGTGTGTCAATGAAATCGTAGATTCCTCAATAATCGGTATGAAATGGGCATGAAAACATAATTGCACAGAGCTGTTTGTCTGTAGCCGGCTATACACATGAAGACACACAAGCTGGGAGTTTGCTGTCAAATTAAATATAGTTTTTTTTATAGGGATGCACGATATTGGATTTTTGCCGATATCCGATATGCCGATATTTTTCAACTAATTTTGGCCGATAGCCGATACCGATATATTTCCTTTTGTTTGGAAACAACACCAAGTCTCTCCTGTACAGAGATTATAAACAATTTATTTATTCATTCTCAGATTAAATGTTCAAAACAGTGAATCTAATCATCATTCAGGAAAACGTTTGCTTCAAGTATGAACACACTGCTAATGTGATCTTATCGCTATCACACCCTGAACACTTGTGAGTTACTCATCTTATCGGCAAGGCATATCGGCATAATTTTTCATATCGGGCTGATGCCGATATTTGCATTTTAAGCCATTATCGGCCAATTCCAATAAGGTTCCGATAATATCGTGCATCCCTAGTTTTTTCAAAAAAAATTTATTAACAGCCTTTTTTAAAGCTGCATCACATTTACAAAACAATCTGTTGAAATGTGCCACTCAAATCATTAGTTGATGAAATTGAACGCCTGGCACTCGTTTTTAATCTTGAGATCTTCTTCAGAAGGATCTGCAGAGCAGCAGGTGCTACACACAGCCAGAAATGACCTCGGTTAATCTATGTGTTGATCTATTCATGTATGTGACTTGGCAAAGTTGCAGAAATTCTGTCATTTTTGCAGTTTTAGTTTCAATAAATAGTAGGAATAGCAAAGAAATTTGAGTTCTGAGGGGAAAAAAATCTGTTTTTATAGCACATCAAATTCTAAAAGATCAAACTCATTTTGCTTCCTCATGACACAACCCCTTTAAAGGTACAGTTCACCCAAAACTGAAAATTTGCTGTTAATTCACTCACCCTCAGGCCGTCAAAGATGTACAGTATGTGACTTTTTTTCTTCAGTAGATCATTAAAGAAGATTTTTAGCTGAAACCGTGGTTCTTGCTGATTCATTAAATGACAGCCAGCGGCTGCACATTTTTGAGAAATAAAAAAAGCATATCAAGGAACACAAAATGAATACCTGTGGCTCCTGACGATATATTGAGGTGTTATGAAATGAAACGATCGGTCTGTGCAAGAAACTGAACATTATTTACAACATCATTACCTGTAATCCAGAGCCTCAGACAAACAGGGAAATCTGATTCTTTTCTGTGAACTGATTCTTTAAGACAGTTTGTTTCAGTGGACTATTTTATTTCACTAGGTTGTTTATGCAGACATGCAATGACATATATGCAGTTATATTATTAAAGCACCCAATAATGATGTGAAACGTGGATGTTTTACATATCTAAAACATAAAGTGCTCAGTTCACAAATCACCAGCATCATAGCATCATGGGTTTGTAAACCGGACATCACTCCAGACTGTTTGCCTGAGGCTCTGATTTTACAGGTAATAATGTTGTAAATAATGTTCAGTTTCTTGCACAGACCAATCATTTAGCATCATAAGATCTCAATATATCGTCAGGAGCCGTGGGAATTAATTTTGTCTTGCCTGATATGCTTTTTTGACTCTCAAAATGTTGGTAGCCATTCACTGTCATTTTATGAATCAGCAAGGAGCACAGTTTCAGCTGAAAATCAGCTTCTTTACTGTTCTACTGAAGAACAAAAAATCACCTACATCTTGGATGGCCTAAGAGTAAATTAACAGCACATTTTCATTTTTGGGTGAACTATCCTTTTAAAGATGTCATGAACTGAGAAATCAAAATTCCCTTATAAGAGGACATTGTACTATAAAAACATCATGTAAATTTCAGAACTCAGAACTTTTTTGTTAGTCCAAAAACAGCTTATATTGAAACCAATCTGCCAAAACGACGTGGAATGTGCCACTTTATGATGTAATAGTGTGGATAAACCCCGCCTCCACAGAAGATGATCAACGCCTGCTTCTACATAACGGTCTGTTTAGCCCCGCCCACCTATTCTGCATCACTGCCTGTTTAGCCCCTCCCACCGATTCTACATCACTGCCTGTTTAGCCCCGCCCACCGATTCTGCATCACTGCCTGTTTAGCCCCGCCCACCGATTCTCCCCGCCCACCGATTCACGCATGTAGTGTAAATAACGAGAGAGACAAACGCAGATCTACACAGAAACCAAAAGATAAAGATGCTCCAAAAACAAGATGCTGGGCAGAGCCAAGCTGTGGAAAAACACAAGTCTTTGCATCGCCTTCCTTCTGATCTCAACATTAGGAAAGAGTGGATGAACTTTATTAATGAAGTTCCAGACCACGTCAGTAAGAACTTGGTCCTTTGTTCACTTCAGTTAGGGTTAGGATTCGTTTACAAACAAGGCACAATTGGACGCTGGATTTTCAGAAAGATTGAAACTAAAAGACGATGCTGTGCAGCTATATTGGATCTGACAGTAATGTCACACCACACGGTCCTTTGTTCACTTCATTTCACCGCGGATTCGTTTACAAACAAAGCACAATTCGACACAGATTTTTCAGAAAGATTGAAATTAAAAGTCGATGCTGTTCGACTATATTGGATCCGACAGTAATGTCGCACCACACAAGTGTGAGTAACTGTTTTTATTACATGCTCACTATTGCTTTGTCTGTTATTACAGATTGTTTGATATGTACGGAGTATTTATGCATCTTTAACCTCAATCACAGCAGTGTCCATCTATGCAGGCTGTAGGCTCTCAGACAAACACAACTGTTAACCAATCACAGCAGTGAGAGTTTACTTCCGAGTCTACAATCTGTCACAGAGCGTTCTGATGAGAGGAGTAAAACAGGACAGAAAATAGCCTATTACTTCTAAATTATGATGCTTTTGATGTAAACATCTTCTTGATAACATTATAAGTGGACCTCAGAGAACAGCACAAAATAATAAAAAAGGCAGTTTATGACCACTTTAAAGCCAGCCAGTGAAACGAGTTTGCCAGACTGAGAAGGTTTTTGCTCCTTTTGTGTGCTAAAAGACTAAACCTATTTGGTTTATCTGCCTAGTTTTTGAACTGTTTCACGGTGCAGATCTAACCACCATCACTAACAGATCTTTAGAGATTGAATTTTTTCTCAGTACTGCTGGTTTTCCCCTGATGCTTTGAGAACACTTTTCATTTGATATTTACACTACGCTTTTTCATTTTCATGAGGCTTTATGCCTTATTATAGTCAAGGAAGTGTTTGCTCTGTTGGCTTTCGACAGTGTTTTTTTGTCAGAAGGTCTTCATATAAATCCTGTCAATCATATCAACGCTTGTTATTGCAGGGAACTGTTGCTGTCATGAGGCAGACGGCTTCTTAATGAAACATCTCAAGAACACCACCAAAGCTTTTTTCAGCCTTGCAGATTCATTCAGAGGAGGATGGATAAAAGAGAAACAGCACTTTTCAAACATTAGTATGATGCATTTTCTCTCTCTCATTTTCTTTCCAGCATATTCTGACTTCCATGAAGGAGATGGTGAGGGACAGAACATCTGTCTTTATTGCACACCGGCTGTCCACCATTGTGGATGCAGATGAGATTATTGTACTAAATCAGGTAAGCTCTTCTGAATCCTGTAAATGTGTGTGACAGGTGCTGAAACATCCAGAAATCACTCTTGGAAGCCAATGCTTAATTCTGGATGTTTCAGCACCTGTCACACACATTTACAGGATTCATCTCCTCTTAAGAAACAATATCGCCCTAAACGCTAGGGATGGGCATTCCAAGCAAAAATAATATTAGAAAATCGCTGGGTATTATTCGATTATTATTCGAAAATCGCACCCCTCCCCCGCATGCACGCACAAACACTCATAAACCGAGAGAGAGGGAGAGAGACGGGATTCACGCTTTCAATCTGTATGATAAACTGTTTAATTCAGAAGATAGGCTACCTTAACTCAAGCCATATGATTGTAACGTGCTGAAACATTTTAATATAATAAACATAACCCAATGACGGCACTTATTAACATAACAGTCCTTCGATTAACATAAATGAACTGCTCATAAGGCTAGGACATTTCCTTTTAAAAAAATGGAACCCCTAAAGGGAAAAGATACGAGATGGGAGAAAAAAATATACATCAATATCTTCTGTCGCAATTATATCGTTGGGTAATTATACTGTCTATAAACTGCGGCATCAGGGAGCCGTTATTAATATACAGGGCATTGAAATCGCTTATGAACACACGCTTGTTTTTTTACTTTCACTTTCGAATTACTTTCACTTTCGAGATTCGCGATCACACGTACGTATGGAGCAGCACTCGGCAGTACTTACCACACATTTTACAAGATTAGATGTTTGTCAGTGGTGCTCAGGATCTGCAATACATTCACCATCATCCTATCAGTCATCTCGTCTTACTCTGTTTTTGTGGTAAGTGAAATGTTATGTACTGTAATGTAACAGGCTACCGCTAGCAAGCGGCTAACCATGTCCCTTTAGTGGCTCCGTAGAACGCGTTATTTGTTTTCTGCGCCTTTCTGAATACGGATTCAGCACACCTCTAACGCAGTCGGGGGTGTTTGTGGTCCGCACAGAACTTCGTCCTTACTGTAACCGTAATATGCTATGCAAGTCTTTTTTTTATGCCACGCAAGTCTACAGTGTGCGTGCGAGACAATGTGTTCTTCTGTTGTCTTTGACAGCTTATGTGCATTATTGGCAGCGCCACCCTCTGCTTACATGAACGCGTCACTACCGCATCAGCACGGAAAACGTGGAATTTTTTAAAGACAATAATCGCACAACCTATTCGATATTCTATAATTAAATCAACTAATCGAATATTCGAACATCGTGACCCATCCCTACTAAATGCCCAATTACCACAACTATAACGATTCACATCAACATTTTGCAGTGTATTCAACTTGTAGCTACATTGTTACTCCCAGGTTAAAGTTCAAGCAATTTTAAACCCAATGGCTGCTGACCTTTTGAGGGGCAACCAATGATTACTGATGAGTTTATAATGATTAAAGGTGACCTATTATGCCCCTTTTTACAAGATGTAAAATAAATGAGCTACAATAACTCATGCTCCGGCATACAGGCAACAACAAAACGGGACAATCCCACGCAATCTGATTGTACTGTGCAGTAAATGCGCATTTATGAATTACACAGACGGGGAGCACGGCGTGATAAAAATAACGACATAGCTGGTCTCATGGTGCTTTCGCATGCTATCACATTATGAGCTCGACTTCACATTGCTTTCATATGCAATTTTTAACTGCAGCATTCCTATTTACGATCATTCTGGTAGCATGTGAAAGCAGCATCAGTGAAAACAGGCAGAGACAATGGTAGCTGTAGCAACATTAGCCTAGAAGCTCCTTTGGAAAGCAAAATATTATTTACTTAACAATGTGCATGTTAAAATGATAATAAATGAGTATAAGTGTCCGCTTCTTTTAATCATGTGGTTTGTTTGTATGTATGCAGTCCACAGTGAGGAAAACCTAATATGTGACCCTGGACCACAAAACCAATCATAAGGGTCAATTTTTCGAAATTTAGATTTATACATCATCTGAAAGCCGAATAAATGAGCTTTCCATTGATGTATGGTTTGTTTCTGATGTATCAGTATGTGGGCAGTGATGAAAGTCAAAATGGATGGATTCATTAAAGCGGGACTGATATTTATTAGGACTATTGAGTTTTACGTGTGTACTAGTTGTATGGACGACATGATGTTGCAGCTGAGACGATGCGGAGACGATTGAGAATCAAAAGCTTGCATGTCTCCATTGAAAGATTCATGCAGCTTGTGTTGTTATGGATGTTGTAAATCAACAGTCATGTGCCACTCACTTGTTGTGCATCAGCCTGTGGGCGACATTGACTTTGGGTGGTTTGCATAGTTGCATGCATTTACTACGATGCAGTTTGTGGACAAATTACGGTTCTTCTGCTGTCACCATGTGTACAGGCGTAACTGTTTGGCCCAAACCCAATGCATCAGTTAGTTAATGCAGTCGACAAGTGGACTTGACCACTAGACGCCATGACAAAGGCATATCATACACACCCCTCTTTCTTGCTACCTAGCAACCTCGTAAAATGGCCTTCCTGTAATGCTCTCTGCACTGCGTTTCACGTGGAGGTCAAAGTCGTGCATGACACTCGTTTTGAAGCCCTAATGTGAGTCATGTGAAAGGGACCTATAGGGAAACAGTAGCATCCTTCCCATATAGCGTTTGGCCCTGAGGTTCAGACGTTTTTCTGATAGTATGGTGATTGCTACATGGAAACAAAAGTGTGATGAGTTTAGTTTCAGATGTGTAGATGGGATAAAAGCATTCATTTGAATGTCTCTCGTGTTTCTTTCATTGCAATGATGAAGAAAGCTCTCTCACTGCTGTCCTTGTACATTGTTCTGCTATTGAGATCCAGGCTGTTGGTAAAAATGAGCTTGTGAAATGATGACTATCCTCCAAAGTTGCCCTTGAAATGGGTGTGGAGCTTGTCAGTGACCTACTGCATTATCGCTGATGTCTTTTTGGATCAGCATTAATGCATTCATGGGAAATGAAAGACCTTACTTGAGTTTGTTGCTGCAGGTCTCCTAACAGTCTGTGTCCCAGTTTGCATAATGTCTGTACTGCACAGTAGTGACTGGTTATATGTTATCAGATTCCCCCAAAAAATGAAGTGCTTGTTATTATATTACTGTATTTTCCGAAAAAAAAAAAAAAAAAGCCACACCGGGTCAAAATTGCATTGTCTAGAAAAAAAAAAGCACAATAGAAACGTACCTACAAAGCTACAGTACTGTGAAAAGTTTTAGGCGCAAATGCTGTATCAAAAATAATGTCATAAATAGATTTTATTGATCAATTAACTTCTATTAACTGAATTAAATCCACCCTTTGCGTTTAAAACAGCTTTTGTCCGAGGTACACTTGCACATAGTTTTTCAGGTAGCTTTGCAGGTAGGCTTCTTCTTAAGAATTTCTACTTCTAAACCGTACTGTATAAGATTTCTACTCAAACTGAAAGCATAAATCTAGGCTACCCGCTGCAGTTTTCAAAGCACAATGCAAAACTGTGACATTTCATTCACTGACGCTCTACAATCGGCAGCGCTAAACCCGGAAGCGCATATACTTACTTGCCGGAAACCCGCAAAAATAAAAGCTTGCTGATTTTAAGTTAAAGTTAAATAAAGTTATTAGCATTTTATTTTTAAGTTTACTATAAAAATAATTGTATCTGTATTTAATACTCCCTTTTTATTTTAAAATAAAACAGTATTATAAAGTGCAATAATATTATCACTATTATTATTAATAAATGTTTTTATAGTTATATTTGATGGGTCACACCATGTGCCGTGTGAGGACCAAACCAAATCTCCAGGTTCTCATATGAA